CAAGATACTCATGTAATGGTACAAGATCCCAATGATGAATGTAACTGTATTTTATACCAAAAATATACCAATAAACTTAATGGGAAAAAAAAAGAAAAAACAAAAAACAAAAAGAAAAGTACTTTAAAAATAATTTTCTGGATATGCAGAAATTACAGATTAAGCTATTGTTGCTTTTAGATGTAAAATGTCCCTAAGCCTCATGTGTTCAGAGGTGGGCTTTTTGAAGACGAGTGGATCATGGGGGCACTGTGCTCTCAGTGGGCTATTCCTCGCATTCACAGCTGAGTGTGCTGTTAGGAGGTAAGACCTGGACAAAAGAGGTGAGTCACTGAGGGTGTGACCGGCAAGGTGCATCTCCCTCCTTCACTCCTCCCTTGGTTTCTGCTTCCTGGCCTCCATGATGTGAGCAGTTCCTCTCTTGTACTTTTTGTCTTAGAGTCAGCAGAGTATGAAATCAATTCTCTAAACATCATATGCCCAAGTAAACCTGTCCTTTAAGTTGTGGGTGTTGGGTATTTTGACCCATCAATAAGAAAATGATTAAGATAGCTATGATGTTTCACTTATCCATTATCCTCAGGCAAGGAGATAGTCCTTATAAGTGAACCCTAAAAAAGTCAGTCTCTCTCTCTCCTCTCTCTCCCTCCCCCCCGCTCTCAGACATCTTCCTCTTCCCACATTCTGATGTTGCAAGAGTGCAATTAAGAGTCAGGAACTGTTCCATATCTGTGAGGGGTACATACCTCTATGGTACACAGCCTCAGACCACTTCAAAATAATTCTACAATACTTGTCTTTTTGAGTATGTTCACCCTTTATTTAATTTGATAACTTAAAAGTACAGGTGGTTCTATATGTTACAAACTCCTAAAAGGGTTCATGAAATTTACTTTGCTTACTGTTGTGAAGTCTTCTTTGATCTTTTCATATTTTATACTATTAAAAGCTATAACAACTCTGACCTGTGAATATATGAAGTATTACCATAAATAAATACACCAGTAAGAAGTGTGAGATAAAAACTGAATTTCAGTATATTATCATGTCAAAGATAAATAGAATATTGATATAGTAGTTCATAGAGTAATGTTTTCTGTTTATGACACTCTTCAAAACAAATGCCAAAAATACAAAACCTTAGCAATCACAAACTTCAACACACCTGTACCTTTAGCAGACTGCAATCCCACTGCCCACAGTTCTACCCATAGGCTCTGCCTCACACACCGCAAGCCTGTTTCTTCTCCTCCTCGGGTGTCAACTCCAATGCTACTTTTGCAACGTCTTTTTGGACTATCCTACCTTAAGGGCCATCTGTTTCCTTGCTGACCACCCTTGTACCCAGCCTCACTCTGTCCCACATCGTTGGTCACCATAGGCTCCAGTGCTTACTCGAACCCAGACTGCATTTGGGGAGAGATGCGAGTGCTCTGGTCACTGATGGCTCACTAGCATCTAGGACTGTCTGCAGTACCCACAGCTGAAGAGAGTTCTGGTCTGAGGAAAAAGTCCTCTTGTAACCACACCAGCAGCCCAATCTACGTGAGCAGGCAAAGCAGTGGTTACAATAGGGGCTCTGCACCAGCCTATGTGGATGGAGCCCTTGTTCTGCCTCTTCTGTGGGAAAGGCCCGCACAGCTTATGCACCAGGATCCAAGTCATTTCCTGAATGACATGATACCATTAACGACACTTCGTGTGACTACTGTAGAATGACATAAATTAACCAAAGTACCCACAGATGTTTATTGCTTTTATTATTTATTCAATGCATAAGTGCTGAATGAGCACCTGCCGTGTGGGTCAGGTACCACATGAGACATTCAGGATATAGCAGCAAATAATAGGTCAGGGTCTGCTTTGTTTTGCTGATTATGGCTATCTGGTCTCATTTCTTTCTCACAGATTCCACTCCAGCTGCTTTGGCTTCCTTGCTGTTTCTTCGACAAGCCAAGTATACTGTGAGACCATGGGCCTGTGATGTTCACAGGACTAGCTTCCTCACGTATTTCAGGTCACAATTACTGTCTGAAAGGCTTTCCCTGGACACAAGTGGAGCAGTCCTCTTCTCTCAGCTCTGATATTACTTCCTGTCCCCTGCTATTGTTTTTCTTCTGAGATGTCTATCATCATCAGACATACATAGATTTGCTTATTAACTCTTCTTCCACCAGGAGGGGAAGGGGCTTTGTTTCATTCACTTAAGATCTTAGTACACAGAAAGTACTCAGTAAAGATTTATTGAATGGGCACACAGAAAATGGAAGAAACAGTTACTATGAAAATAAGAATATTCAAATGAAAACACCATCCTGGAACAAGTGCTTCAGAGATGAAATATCCCCAGCCTTGTAACAGGGGTCTTTTATATTCAGACAGATCAAAGAACACATCTCAAAGCATAGCATGCTGGTCTAGTACACCTTTAACTCACCACCCCCTCTCCCAAATCTGGAAACCTACTGATACTTGACTTTGAGATAAAATCTCTATTAGCAACAACTACACAAATATTTATCAGGCATATTTTATGCATGTAATCTATTTATAGGCAAGAATTTAAAAATAGTAAACAACTGTGAAGGAAAACATATAAACAATCTTACCAGAATAGCTTTTAAAAATACACATAATTTAGCTGACAAATATTTCAAAAACTTTAACTTATATAATGAAATAATGCAAAACAGATATCTAAAATCATAGAAGAGGTAGGTAGACTACAACAGTGGCCCCCTTTCAAGTGGTGCTAACCATTTGTAGCTCGTTCATGATGGAGTCAGAAATACTACAATCCATTGCTCTTTCTACCATCCAAATATATCCTTTATTAAAAACTTTAAGTAAAATATTTCAAAAACCTTATCGTATCACACATATTCCAAAACATTTTTATCCTTCTCCTATAGATAGTCTCCTCAGCAGAATTAATGCTTTGGGCACTTAAAGCAAACAAACTTACAATTTTGATGATAAGAAGTGAACTTGATACACTTACCTGAGCCTGAGTATGTTCAACTGGAGGTAATGGAGGCAGTGAGGTCTTGAGTTCCCAGACACATGTCTCTAAAAGGGTGGCATCTGCAATGCTGGAAAGGACAGAAAAAGAAAACATGTTAGATGATCAGTATGCTTTTAACTGAGGATGAATACGCCAGAATTTAAAGATTGAAGGTAAACCCGAATAGAATTTGAGAACAGATTTTTATAAGAAAATGTTTATCAAGATATCCCAGACTTTTTCAAAAAGAAGAAAAATATCGTTAGATAAATATGAGAAGCAAAGAATTCTTAAGCAAAGAATATCTAAAGAAATTTTATTAAAAGTAGGATAAAATACAACACAGAGCATTCAGAAAAAAAGCAAACAAAAATAAAACAGTGGTTATGTTCCCATTCAAAATATCAAAATCACAATCTAGGAAATATGTTCATATTCAGAAAGCAAAACAAACAAAATTATTTTAAATATCAGAAGTAAAAAGCATGTACGGAAATACAATAAGCCTTTGCAGGAAAAGATCCTTTAACACAGTGATGGCAAACCTTTTAGAGTTTTCAATGATACAAACAGCCTGCTGTTGGCACGTGTGCCATACGTTCGCCACCTCTGCTTTAACACCTTTCTGGCCTCGATACCATTTCAACTTAACTGACTTCTAAAAAGCAAGGATATTCTCGGAGCTTTATTTTGGTCATTCTCCTCACAGTAAGAAAAGCCAACTGACTAGGATTTACTCTCCCAACCTTGGTAGGCATTATGGTAGAAAGAAATGATCAATAATTAGTAAAAATAGCCTATAGCTCATTACAGATTATAAATGTTAGAAGACTAATCATAATTGAGTAAAGCAAAATGAGAAAATACATTCATTTTAGTTTTTTTAATATCCAAAAAGAAAGATAAACTTTATGCTTTGGCAAAGGCAAGGAAGACACTGAAGAGAATGAATGTTCAAAGGTGAAGAAATAGTGAGGTAGAGAAATGCAAATGAATACAAAGGTAGGAATAGAAAGTTGACTACAGTAATACTGGATATTAGGAAAAAAGAAGAGTATTTACTTTTCATAGGGGAGAGTCCTGGGCATTACCACTTTTAATCCTTTCTCCAATACCTTAAGAAGCTGTCAGTAACGACACTTGAGAGATGGAAATAACTTTCCCAAGCCTGCAACACTACTAAGTGAATGAACAACTTTAGATGGTCCTGAATTCAAAATCTAGGCCTTTTCTATGACACTGTATAAGAAAATCAGAAAAATTTATATGAGATTCATTAATTTTAGGCAAACGAATAAAAACATTTTTTAAAAATCATGATTTTTATCAGAATACATTCTGGTGGAAACCTTAGTTTTCTGTAACAAATTAACTGTAAATGCATTTAAATAATGATTTTTTTTTTTTTAAGCTAGGGCCATAAGTCTATGACTACTAGGGAGATGAATCATCAAACTCTTTCATATCCAATTAAGAATAACCAAGGGGATGACATAATATTCTCTGAATGTGCTAGAGGACAGATGAGGCTTAGAACTCCCTGAACTGAAAAAAAAAAAGAAAGAAAAGGAAAAGGCCTTAATAGTCAAGATAACAAATCAATACAAATACTTTAATAGACCTAACACACAAACTATCAAGACAACTGTAAGAAAACCAAAACACCTGTAGTTTAATAAACCTTACAAAGAATGAGAATACACTCCCAGTATACAGGAAGTCTCCTATCAATTCAGGAATATAGGTTATGTAACATGCCTCCCTTGGAGTGATTCTCTCTTACCTACAGAGAAGCTCTATGAGTTGGGCTTGTTGGAGAGCATTTGCAGTGTCTTGGGGAGCAATCACCAATAGGTTGTCTAGGAGGCTACAGATGGCTGAAAGAAGAGATGGAGTAACAAAAACACGTTGCTTGGGCAGGGGAGCAGTCAGGGATGAATCATGAGGTGGCTGTGATGATGCAATTTCATGCTGACCTATTATTGAAAATAAGCATAAAATTAATATTTAGTTTACTTCATAGTTATGCACAATATTCATAGGTTTATAATCAGAAGCAAGTTTCTAAAAATGAAGACAAATGGTTGGTTAATACCCCTAGCTGCTCAGCTCATCTTAACCCTGAGGCTGGGAAGCTAGATTGCTCTTCCTATTCCTTACCTCTATTCTCCACTGTGTGCACATGTGTGTATTTGTGTGCAGTGTATGTTAATATATATGTATATGAAGGTGCTGTTTGTGTGTGGTGTGTGCACATACATGTTCATGAAGAGGAGAGGAGCTGATACAGGAAAGGCAGAACATGGTTTTGGGCCCCAAGCATTAACACACCGAAGAACAAATGGATGATCCACAATCCTTTTTCTGAAACTCCAGGGGTCAGAGGCATTTCTAAATTCAAAGTATTGTGGATTTCAGAAAAGTAATAATGTATGTGTACCATACCTCCATTAACACATTCAATGGATCTTAAAATCATCCCATAATGAAATATATATGTAGTGCAGCAAATGTACAATCGTAGCAGGCTCAATAAAGGAGTAAACAAGACCTCAAATCTGTACTAGCCATGTGTAGCAAAGGTATTCAGATGTAGCTGCTATGATGGCTTGTACCTAGAGGCCCCCCAAAGCCTCATGCAGTCTTACGTGGGGCTTCTGGGGGTGGCTGGATCTAGGGGGTGTGATGCTGGGATCAAGGATGTAAAGCTGGGACTGATTCATGGTGTGATACTTGGATTAAGGGTACTCCACCCTGGGTGTGAGTGCTATTTGCCCTAAAGGTGGGTAGCCTGGATAGAATATAAAGGACAGAAAGAGGGTTGCTGCTTTTCACTTGCTCCTTGCTGCCTTCTGCCTGCCATGGACTATTTCTCTTCTGTGATAGTCCTCTGCCATCCCATTCTGCCTTGGAGCCAGCAAACTATGAACTGAAACCTCTATAAGCTATGAGCTACAATAAACCTTTTCTCCTTTAATTATGGAGTCAGGTATTTTGTCTCAGCAACAAGAAAAGTAAGACAGCTACGGACTGAGTTCTGAGAAAACTTGGTTTTCAGATAGTTTGAATTTAAGAGTTGAAGATATGGGAGTATGGTCTGTCTCAAAAATTTTCCTAATTATTGTGGCTCCTTATTTCATTTTTTAAAGAAAATATTAAATTTTGAATAAATTCTGACTTACAGAAAAAGACAAAATAATTCTCATAGGCCTATGGTCTGAATCATTAATTTTTGCCGCATTTTATTCATCTGCCTGCCTACTTATCATTTTATGTAATATAAGCCACAGACACAATGTTCCTTTAATCCTAAATTAATTTCCTAAAAACAAAGACAATGTATTTTATTACTCCAGTACCATTATGAAAACCAGGACATTAAGAGTTAGGCAGTGGTATTATTTAATCTACAGACTTTCACTTATGAGAATTCAGGTTGTTTCCAGTACTTTCCAATTACAAACAATTACTGTATTAAATAATTACATGCATAAGCAATAAATTTCATATTGTTGGAGTCATGGAAAAATTCCTACATAAAAGGTGAATACATATACAGGTTTGTTAGACATAGCCAAATTCCTCTCCAAAAGTGCTACAATAATTCATTCTCTCTAACAGTGTATAAAAGCGCTCATTTTCCATAGCCTTGCCAACAGAATGTTTGTTAATTGTTGGCAATTTATTAGATAAGAAAGAGTATTTCAGCTCTTATCCAAAGATAAGAGTGACTGTTACATCTTTTTTGTGAATTATATTCTCATAGTTTCTACTTACTTTTACATAAGGTGTAGGGTTCTCCAAATATTAGGAATTTCTTATTTGTTATATATTTATATATCTTTGTCTATGAGTTATATTGCAAACAGTTATGCAGGCTTGTCAGTGTCTTTGGAGTTTATGGCATTTTGTGCCACGCAACAGTTATTTTTCAATTTAATTACATGTAGAACGTTTGTTACTTTTTTTTATTGATCTAGATATTTACACAGTTAAAAAATATCTTCCTATTCTGAGATTATAAGGTATCTATCCATGCTTTATTCTAATATTTGTATGATTTAGATTTTTCATTTTTATAACTCATAATTCTGGTGTATGATGTAAAATAGGTTTTCTTTTCAAATAGCTAGCCAGTTTTAGGATCACTTATCAAAAGATTCATGCTTCATAGAATGATCTGAGATGTTACATTATTTAATCATATAGGAAATTTTTTCAATTTTATTTGTTTTTTATGTGCCAGTAACATAATATATTGATTTTTATTATGCTCCTTAGTATGGTTTAATATCCAGTAAGGATAGTCTCCTTTTCAAATATTTTCCTGTGTATTTTACACTCTTTTCTTCACATGAATAAAATCTTGTCCACCCTAAAGAAGTTTGTTGGTATTTTTACTGGGGCTGTATTTAACTTATAGATTAATTTAGGGAAAAGTTACATGTTTTTGATGCTGAGCCATTGTACCTAAAAATAAAGGATATCTTTCCATTTGTCCACATCTATATTTGTGTTCTTCGAGAGTATTAGAGTTTCCTACAATAAACTTTTGTATATATTTTTTTCTTCATCCAATCTTTTAAAAAAACTTTTATTATACACATTTGCAATGATTGTATTCACTTATGGAATTTGTACATGTAAATAGCACATTTCAATTCTTTTTTTTCTTTTCCCTTCACCTCCCTCCGCCTTGTACTTTTCCAGCATCAGATTCATGTATTTATAAGACCTTATAAAGTTAATTATGATATATAGAGATTATAAACAAGACTAACAGGCTAAGGAAGATATAAAACACGTAAGAAAATTGTACTAAGTCAAGGTACAGCTTTAGATACACTGTGCTAGATCACATTTTTTCTCTCATTATTCCAATTATCTGTCTTTCATGAGAAACCATGCAATACGTAAGCTTGTGTGTCTAAGATACTTCATTTAACATTATAGTCTCAAGGTGCATCCATTTGCCTACAAATGACTGAAGTTTATCCTTCTTTGTGGCAGAGTAGTACTCCATTGTGTATAAATACCACATTTTCTTTATCCATTCATCTGTTGATGGATATATAAACTGCTTTCAAGATTTAGCTATTATGAATTGCACTGCTATAAATATGAGTATGCATACATCACTGTCATATGATGTCTTTAAATATCTTTTGGGAAGATACCTAGAAAGGGAATAGCTTGGCCGGAATTTCTATTTTTAGTTTTTTGAGGAATCTCCATACTGATTTCCATAGTGCTTATATCAGATTATAGTCCCAACAGCAATGGAGAAGGGTTCCTTTCTCCTCACAGCCTCTGCAATATTTATTATTGGTTGATTTCTTGATGGTAGCCATTTTTTCTGCAGTGAGATGGAATCTCAGTGTTGTTTGTTTTTGTTTTTGTTTTTGGTACCGGGGATCGAACTCAGGTCTTTGCGCTTGCGCAGCAGGCGGCAAAACCACTGAGCTAAATCCCCGG